TTTAAAAATATATTGCACAGAAAGAAAATAGTACCAAAGAAAGAAAATATCAGCTGACCAGAATTGAAAATTGCAAAATTATCAAACTATTTTCGATGCTCTTGGTCTATAACATTGTAACTTCCTAGAAAATTTCAAATTTTGTTCTATTGAAAGTCTTATGTTACTTCTTTTACGTAGAAATATATTATATAACATTTTTATTGTAAAAGTTATTTTCATTTATCAACATCATAATTACGCGAATACAATGGTTTCCATAGTTAAAAATTAATCCTACTTTCATCAAACTCTTAATTTTTTAAAAATAGTACGAAGATGGATAAACATCATGCATATATTATATTAAAATGTATACAGTAATTTCCCCAAAGGTTTATTCAGCTTTATTTATACAATGTAGAAATTTAATGACATGGGAGATCTTAAAATGACAATGTGATCAGATGGAATTGAGGATTTGTATAAATCTAGTTCGTTTGTACAATTCTCGAACAGAGTAATTGCAAATTATTCTTTCTGTAGCAATTAACAATGTGATCTCCACTCGCTAAATACAGTACGTAAAGGCAGCCTACACCCAATAATATAAATACAGTTGTGTAAATGTTAATAAAGACTTGACTATTATAAATTGTCGGCATAAACAGTATTTCTTTCTCGTTTTTAATCTTATAGCGTATGTCTCATTGTTACTCTGCATATATGTATTTATATATATACATGTACATACATAAATACATATGTTCGATATTTATACATGTATAATATTTATAGAAAATTATTCTAACTATATTAATATATACATACAAAGACAAATGTGAAATACCTAAACTTTATTTGTCCCTTACTTTATAAAAATATGTGTATTTGTTATATTTTCGTTCATATTTCAAACAATACTATTATTAATATTGTAGCAATACAACACATTGCGTTAGAAGTATCCACATAGTCACATTAATTGCTAAATATCTTTATCACTTTATGTTACAATTCATTGTTAATATTTCATTTGAACGGATTGAAATTTAACATTTTTGGAGCAGTTTTCTGTACAGAACACTAAACAGTTTATAGAACAATATACATTATTCGATATCCTTAACATATCTTTATTATTGTTTCAATGTTCCAATTTAAATTCAGGTTTAATTTCTGACAGGCATTCCTGACTTTTATCGTTGCAAATTATAAACGGATCAACTATTTATTTCGCTAGCAATATTCGCGTAAATATATTTTATCTACTCTCTATCGAATTATGTGTCAAACTCAATGACTTTTTATTTCTATTAAAATATTTATGAAGTTTGGCAAGTTTATATAATTTTTTAATTTTGAAATTTAACAAATAAAAATGATATTGAATAAGCCACATTTTGACGTAATCGTAGACAGTTAATATCTGTGTCAGTTATATATATATATTAAATGTAATATAATCATAACTGAACAATTGCGTTTTGTAAAAAAGGCAAATATGGTATATATAATATAATCACGGTGCGTAAAAAATATGTACATATGCATATATTTAAAATGAAAACACGTTTGTGTTATAAAATAAAAGAGAATTATAAGAAAGTTATTTTAATTGAATCATAGGGATCCATTGAATTTTAATACGAAAAAAAATGACATTTGAATTCTTTCTTTTTTCTGAAAAGATCAATTCATGTTTTTATTCGTTATTCATGTTTCGTCGTTATTTAAAGTAACGAATAAAAATTTTATATTTAAAAATATAACATAGACTTTTATATGAATTGTCTACCACTTTTTTCTAGTCGCAGAGTTTATCGATTTATTTATGATTTAAAACTATATGTACAATAGGTATTTTTTACGTTTGGTGATTATTTTCCAGTCGTAAAAAAACATGTGACTCAATGTGAGCCTTTGCGAAATTTTTGAAAAATTCTTCATTTATTTGAACATTATGAAATATATCAAATGTCGAGCAATAAGCTTTCTACGCGAACTCTCTTCATTGTGATATTTAAAATCAGAAGTGATTTTCCGTCTCAGCACCGCATTTACGTTCGCTTCGCAAAAGTGCGGTCATCGTGGGAAGAAAATACAGCTTCTCTCATCATTATCAAAAAAGTTTCAAAACGTTTTTTGATAATTTCATTCTTTATGTTCAGGATCAGGCTTTGTTTTTGGTTCCATTGCCGTAGAACGTGGATGATGAGGATTCGTCTGATTCCTTGGCACTAACAATACATTTCCATCAGCAGATTGTTGAAGGCTATACTCGTACGGATGATACTGATTGCCATCAGGATCGCGCAAGGACTATAAATTATAATAATAGAAAATTAGTTTCAGTAAAAACTAACTAAACGAATAATCAATGGAATGTACAAACCTGGAATACATGACGATAAAGTTGGCTAAATTTGTCTTTTACGCGTTGCCTCTCGATGAGCATAAATTCTCGTTCACGAATAAGCCTCATCTTGCGATCTCTCATCTCTTTCACTTCGTCAGCGAGACTGATGATTTGATCTAGTTTACGCTTACGACAATTTTGAGCGGCAACTTTGTTCTTGCCCCGTCTTCTAATGTCGCGGATCAAAGACAATTGAGCTTCACTGAGATCGTATTTACTGAGACGTTCGTTAAATTCATCCATTGGAAGATTAATGATGTCGTTCACCGGAATAGGGACGTTCAATGCTCTTGCTCTCTTCTCATCTCTAGTTAGGTGTTCCTCCCCCTCGCTCTTACGTACTGCAAACAGTCACGAACGAACGCAAAAAAAAAAAAAAA